ATAATCCTGTCTGCTCCTTATTGTTGAGTAAATAAACAAAGTGCATAGCTATGATGAACAGTTGTACTCCTTACAAAATTTTTAAAACTTGTGGTCTCCAGGTTTTGGTTTTTAAGGGGGGGGGGGGGGGGGGGGCTTTATTTATTAATGAAGTGAAAATGTGTTAATTCTTTCAAAATCTTCAACTAATTGCATAGTAATGATGATTAGGATACCTCTAAAATTTAATTATGCAATATATAAATTTCTGACCTTGGCTTTGACATATTGACCTCAAAATCAAAAAGGAGTCTTTTTCAAGTTATATTGACTTCAGTTGTAATGTTTCATTGCAAAATCTCAAGGAAGAACAAGAGTTATCACCAGGAATCCATTTTATGCAGGATATTTTTTACCTTGATTTTTTTTACTCTTCTTTAAGTTATTAGGTGTAACAAGATTGCATAGAAAAAGTTCAAGAAAGTCTACTTATAATCTGGAAGCTTTTTTGCAATTCACAAATTCCTGACCTTGACCTTACTTTGTAGAATTTAAAAACAAGAGTTTTAAGCCCTTCACCGGTATATGGTGACGGCTCTACATAAGTGAAAACTTCTCGAATGGGACGTTATACAACGTTCAATCAATCAATCAATCTCTCCCCCTGTATATTACAAAGATGAAATAGGTGCATGGTTATGATGAGTATGGGCGCTACTTCCAAAATTGAGAATTTTGTGGTGCCAGAATCAGGAGTTATGGAGTTAGGGTTGGACTCTATTGATCATATCAGGGTTTTCCATGGGCCATTTAATGTGGCGGCCCCGCCACAGTAAAATTCCTTGGCATCACAGTTAAAAAATCAATGTCGTCAGTAAGATAAATATATAAATTTATAAACCTCCAAATTATGTACTTTTAGATAACTTGAGCCGAAGGCTCAAGTAAGCTTTTCTGATTGAAATTTTTGTCCGTTGTCTGTCCTCGTTGTTGTCGTAAACTTTTCACATTTTCATCTTCTTCTCAACAACCACTGGGCTAATTTCAACCAAACTTGCCACAAAGAATTCTTTGGTAAAGAGGATTCAAATTTGTTCAAATCAAGGGCCACGTCTTCTTCCAAGGGGAGATAATTATGATTTTGTGAAAAATTAATGGCATCATATAAAAATCTTCTCAAGAATCACTGTGCTTGAAAACATGAAACGTAAGTGGAATTATTGTGAGGTAGTGTAGATTAAAATTTGTACAAAATCTTCTTCTCAAGAACAGCAAACCCATGATTGGTCATATTTATATGAAAGCATCCTCAGGTAGTGTAAATTTATATTTGTTCAAATCGTAACCCCCGGGAAAGGGTGGGACCACAGTGGACGATCGAAGTTTTACCTAGGAATACATAGAGAATCTTTAAAAATCTTCTTCTCAAGAACAGCAAACCCATAATTTGTCATATTTATATGAAAGCATCCTCAGGTAGTGTAGATTCAAATTTGATTAAATCATGACCCCGAGGGGTAGGGTGGAACCACAATAGGCGATAAAAGTTTTACCTAGGAATACATAGGGGAAATCTTTAAGAATCTTTTTCTTGAGAACACAAAAGCTGTGATTGGTCATTTTTATATGGAAACATCCTCAAGTAGTGCAGATTCAAGTTTGTACAAATCTTGACCCCCGGGGCTAGGGTAGGGCCACAGTGGGTAATCAAAGTTTTACATAGAATACAGAGAAAAAATCTTTAAAATTCTTCACAAGAACAACGAAGCCATGATTGGTCAGAATAATATTAAAGCATCTGCAAGTAATGTAGATTTATATTTGTTAAAATAATGACCCCCTCCCCTCTCCCAGAGAATAGAAGGGCCATAACAGGGGGATCATATAGTTATACAAAGGAATATAAAGGATATAGCAATAAAAATTTTCGTCTTAAGAACAGCAAAGCCATTATGTGTCATGTTAATTCAAAAAGCATCCTTAGGAAGTGTAGATTCAAGTGTTTAAGTCATACATCCTTTTATATTTAAACTTTTCAATACTAAACTTTTTTAGCTAAAGTGCTCAGGAGAGCGATGTGGCCCCTTGGCCTCTTGTTCAGTTTCTTATGATAAACCATTAATTTACTCAAATTAGGGTTTATTTTTGGCTTGCACAAGCAATTATCTTCTTGACCTCTCTGGACACTTGAATGAATAGAGAAAAGCCATTTTTTCCACACATCAAGAAAATTGCAGATGATATTTTTTAATATTAATTAATTCATGCTTTAATAGTTCTACAGATAACCACGTCTCTAAAATTGCATTTGGACTGCGAGTGAAACATCGTACGTGTATCATAATCATGTATTTAGTAATGTTTAAAAATGAATGACACTAAACCGCTGAATTATTTTATAGGTCACCTGAGTCACACAGGTTACCTATTGCTATGTGTTTTGGTCTGTCATCATCAGTCGTGCATTGTGTGTTAATATTTGAACATTTTCAGCTTCTTCTCTAAAATCATTGAACCAATTTCAGCCAATTTTAGCATATGGCATCTATGTGTGAAGAGGGACACAATTTGTGAATTTCATGGTCCCTGCCCCCATGGGGCCTGAGGGGTGGGGTTAAAACCACTAAAATTAATGCAATCTTTAAAAGTCTTCTTTACTTCTGGACATCAAGCAGTCAAACTGTTGGCATGATTGTAATAAGCATATAGCCCTCTACCAAAATTGTGAAATTCATGGCCCCTGGTTCAGGGATTCTGGTGTTAGGGTGGGGCTCTTTTGATTATTATATAGTTAAAATGCGTTAATTATTTTAAAATCTTCTTCTCTGCTTCTGGGTATTAAACTATATACTTAGTACATAGTTATGATGAGCAAGAGTGTCTCTTCCAAAATTGTGAATTTCAAGGCTCCTGGGTCAGGGGATCTGGCCTTAGGGCAGGGCTCTATTGATGAAATAGTGAAATGCATTAATTCTTTGAAAATATTCTTCTCTGCTCCTGAGTATTAAACAAAATAACTTAGTACATAGTTATAATGAGCAAGAATGCCTCTTCTAAAATTTTGAATTTCATGGCCCCAGGGTCAGATGTTCTGTTGTTAGGGCGGGGCTCTATTGATAATACAGTGAAAATACATTAATTCTTTGAAAATCTTCTCCACTGCTCCTGGGTATTAAACAAACTAACTTAGTACATAGTTATGATGAGAATGGGTGCTTCTTTCAGAATTGTGAATTTCATGCCCCAGGATCAGGCGTTCTGGTGTTAGGGCGTGGTTCTATTGATTATTATACAGTGAAAAATGCTTTAATTCTTTGAAAATCATCTCTGCTCCTGGGTATTAAACAGACTTACTTAGTACATAGTTATGATGAGCAGGAATGCCTCTTCTAAAATTGGGAATTTCATGGCCCCTGGGTCAGGGGTTCTGGCTTTAGGGCAGGGCTCTATTGATGAAATAGTGAAATGCATTAATTCTTTGAAAATCGTCTTCTCTGATGCTGGGTATCATTTGAACAAACTAAGAGCATAATTATGATGAGCAAGGATGCCTCTTCAAAAATTGTGAATTTCATGGCCCCTGGGTTAGAGGTTCTGGTGTTAGGATGGGGCTCTATTGATTATATAGTGAAAATACTTTAATTTAGGGTGGGGGTCTATTGATAATATAGTGAAAATGTGTTACTTCTTTGAAAATCTTCAACAAGTGTATAGTTATGATGATAAGAGTACCTCTTCAAATTTTTGAATTTCATGACCCTGGGTCATGTATTCCGGTGTAAGGGTAGAGCTGTGTTGAATCTGTAGTGAATATAAATTTAATATTTCTTTGAAAATCTTCTCTGCTCCTGGGCATATCAGAAGCAAACAGTTTTAGTAAGGGTAATTTTACCAGATTTTTTTTTTACATCTGGACTATTTGGTCAAGTGTTCTGGTCCTGACCAGTGCTTTATTAAGTTATTCTCCATAGCCATTCACTTTTGATAATTAATCACTGTAAATAATGCATTTAAAAGGTTAATAGAATAACTGATTTATGCAAGAATTTTCATTGTATAATACAAAAAGTACTTCTATTGTTTTAATGATCAGGTAGACTTGTATATGATAGATAAATAAAAATGAGACAAAAATATATCTTATTTATTGTTATTCAAAGACTAAGAGATCCCAGTGTAAGAGGTTCTGATATGGTGTTAAAAATAGAACAGATGCACTTATAGTTTGTTAATAGACAGCATGGTGATAGTGATAAATGGGGGACAGATTAGAACTTAATTTATGAGTTGTTACTGAATTCTAGACTAATAATTTTGTTGATCCTGATCATCCTATTTCTCATGCTTTTGGGCAATAAAGCATCATCTATCAGTTTATTTAATACTCTATGGATCCCCTAAATTGTATTATACTCAGGTGACCGTTAAGGCCCTTGGGTCTCTTGTTGTTTTACACTTTGTTTAATCAATATCAATCAATTGCTTCTATTATCAAATTTATTTATCAATTTCCCAAACAATAAAAGTCATTTATATATTAAACTGTCGATTCAATGGGGTTGGGTGTTTTTTTAATTTATTTTAATTGTGGTTCCTTTGCAAATTCGCCCGCGAAATGACGGCGAATATAAGCACTTTGCATAAAACCTTGCACCACAGTTAAATTTGAAAGGATGGAGATCCCAGGATCATATAGTAAAAGTACATAAATTCTTTGAAAATATTCTTCCTGCTGCTTGATATTAAGCGCATATTCAAACTAACTGAGTAGTTATGATAAACAAATGTGCCTTTTCCAAAATTGAAAGAACAAAGGAGACCAATGTGAGATGGAACGCTTGGTGTTCAAAAAGTCTGAAGCTGATTTTTTGTGTTAAGTCAGAATGGTGGTAGTGACAAATGGGGGCAGATAAAGACAAGTAAATAGATCCACTTTAATATTTGTAAATGGGTAATAGACTAATTATTTTGCTATATTTGTACATATTTTAAACAACAAAGTGTTTAATTTTTTATTTTAGAGGGGATCTCTACATGGGCTGAGATTACTTTCAACAAAATGCTTGCACAGCTAAGAGAAAATAGGGAAAATGAAGATAGAATTCAAAAACTAATTAATTTTCTGAATATTGAGACTGCTCATCATCAGTCAGATCAAGGAGATCTCAAGAAAAGCACTGAATTTGTGGACATCATTCAGAGGGTAGACTACCTGGACTGTTCAGGACTTCATTGCAGTAAGGCAGAAAAGCAGAGCAAAAGTTTTAAGCCATTTTCTCAATCCAGTGTTGATGATTTTCTTGAATGGATGACAGACTGTGACGAAGTCTTCAGAAAGACACAATCTCCAAAATGTCGACCCATTTTATCTATCTTATTCTCTGCATATACAAAAGAAACATTGTTAGACTTTAAACCAAGAGACCTTTCATTCATTATTCATCGATGCCTAGAATTCGCTATTGAAAACCAAAACCACATATTGGTTCTAGAGCTTGTGAGGTTGTACAAATTTGATTTTGATTTCCATTTGGATGAAGTGCTCAAAGATAAGGAAATAAATTCTGTTGTTATGGACACGTTCTTGACAACAGCAAAATTTATGATTTTAAGAGAATGCCCAAGACTTCGACAAAATGCAATTAGACTATCGTTCTGTTGTGAATGCAGCCAGAAAAATAGGCTCGTGATCATGATGTTATATAAAGGTAGCATAGAAATGAAAGACGGAATTCCAGAAAAAGCCATGGGGGTTAAACTTGTCTTCTATAACTATACACAACCATCTGATGAAGCATCAATCGTCTTCAACTCCTTTTCAGCTTCTTGTTCATCAGGTGACTTGCCTGTTATTACAGAAAACGACGCAAGAAAACTTTTCAAGAAGCATTCCAATCTCACTCTCATATCGGCATCTCCATATAAATCATCAGGATATCCCAAAGGAAAGCACATTATTGTTGAAAAACGGTGCATTAGTCTATTATGTTTGCATAAAGGTTTCATTCCTTTTGGAGAAAGAGAGTTTCCAAAACAAATTAACGGTTTTGACGTAGATGTACAGGAGGGATACTGTTCTTTTGGAAGTGGTAGATCTATAGACTTTGGAGGACATATTCGTCGTGCCAAGGGAATAAATACTCCTGGACATGGAAGTATCGGGGGCTTTGTTGATTTGTCAAATGGTTCTGTTGGTTTGATTACGTGTGCTCATGTTGTATTTTCAACAGATGAATTGTTTAAAACTAATTCTGAAATCGAGGATTATGTACTTTGCAGAGATACAGATTTGAAAGTAGAGTTTTTTGATAAAAATCAACATAATTTTCAGGTGTGTGGTAATATTGTAAATAAATGTTTTCCCACATCAATTGATGACATTTCAGTAGACGCTGCTTTGATAGAACTTGACCAATCTGTGAACGAATTTGGATTTCCCGTGGCACTAGCTGATCAACTATATCTTGCAGGTAAGCTTGAGTACACAACCCAAGAAAGAAATTGACCCCAATTCCGGGGTCCGCTAGGGCTGTCCCTGAGCGAATTATAGCGCGTCACAGATGGATCAAAAGCAAACACTGAAAGCAAAAAGCAAGTTTTCTGTGCACCTAGAAAGTGATAGTGGGGTTCGTTATTACATAACTGAGCTGTCAATCAGGATAACAAACAACATATGTTTTTGTGCACGCGATTTCTAAAAAAAACGGCTTGAGGGGTTTCCATGAAACTTTCAGGACTTATGTGTGATCACTTGAATCTTATGCGTTTTTTTCTTTTTTGATGACGTCACTTCCGGTCCGGAGATATTGTCGATTTAAAGATTTTTAAAGGGTCGGATTGTCCGGAAACTTTATCATGAAAGGCTATAGATAGAAACATGAAACTTTCAGGTATGATAGACCTATGTCTGTAGATATGCGTTATGCATTTCATTTTTACTGGAAATGCCGCATATCGACGCTAAAAAAGGCCTGATTTTCTGATTTTTCAGATGAGTGAGCACATTAAAATTTTGGGTGCAGGTCCTTACCCAAGTACATGTAACTATATGTCCTACCTGGACCAAATTTCAAGTATGATGCATTTAGGGATGGACACTACCTCACTTGCTTCGGATTCTGGATCTGACATAGATTTTCCACATGACTGACCAGGTCAAAGTTTTTGGAGCAGGTCCATTCCCAAGTAACCGTAAGCCCTACCTGGACCGAACTTGCATGGATGATGCATCAAAGGATGGACACTACCACACTTGACTGGGATTCTGGATCTGACCTAGATTTTCCACATGAGTGACCAGGTTAAAGGTTTTGGAGCAGGTCCATTCCCAAGTAACTATAAGCCCTACCTGGACCAAACTTTCATCGATGATGCATCTAGGGATGTATAGTAACTCACCTGCTTCGGATGCTGGATCTAACCTAGATTTTCCACATGAGTAAATTTTAGCCATATTTTACCAAAATTAGCATGGATGATGTATCTAGGAATGGATACTTCCGGACTTGCTTTGGATTCTAAATCTGACCTACATTTTCCTGATGAGTGACCAAGATAAGTTTTTGGAGTAGCTATATAATATTATGGCCTGTTATTATAAACTTTGTATAGATGGTGCATCTAAGGATGAAAACTTCCAGACTTGCTTTGGATTTTGGAACTGACCAAAATTTTCTTGATTAGTGAACAGGTTTAAAGTTTTTGAGCAGGTCTATTTCCAAGTACATGTAACTATAAGTCCTACTTAAATCAAACTTGCATGGATATTGATCTTTGGATGAACACTCACTGGAAAAAAATATGATGTGAAATTTTGCATTACTTATAGATAACATTCGTCGAGGTGATTCGCCCGCGTGGCGCAGTGGTAAGAGCGTCTGCTCTAGAGTCGCGAGGTAATGAGTTGATCCTTACGTCGCGGGTTCGAATCCCACTGTGGGACGTGGAGACCGGTCCTTCGGATGAGACCGTATAAACCGAGGCCCCGTGTCGCAGTAGGTGCTGGCACGAAAAAGATCCCTCACTGCTCAATGGCCGTAAGTGCCGAGTATAGGACAAAATTTGCAGATCTCCACCGGCAACTGGTGGCGTCTCCATATGAGTGAAAAATTCTCGAAAGGGACGTTAAACAACATACAAACAAACAAACAAAACAAAATCGTCGAGGTGAGCTTCGTAATCTTTGATTACCTATGTTTTTATGAATCTGATGATGTCAACTTCCTGTTTATCGTGCTTGGAGTGTATATTCACATCAGAGTGGGGGTATTACTAGTGAGCATTGGCTCACAGACTTCTTGTTTTTTCTTGAAATACTCTTCGTAAAGTATATTATGATATAACATTTTTTAATAAGTTTTCCTATTATATCACAAATGTAATAAGTTTCACTATAAACCTTGAAGAATGCTGAATCACACCGGAAACAGTTATGTCACACGCCGGAAACGGTTATGTCACCCGACGTAAACAGTTATAATACCCTCTCGATCACTTTCACGTGTTTTTATGTTACGCATTTGTAGCTCGGGTTCGAGATGTAATGATGTCGGTTGCTAAGCAAATGTAAACAACGGAGCATAATTCTAGCGTCATGAAAGCATTTTGGATTATTTGTCGAAACTTAAACAATTTTAGACGATTTTTTAATTTTAAAAATGTTATATAACATATACCACATGGCTTCTCGGGTGACTATACCAGAGTGCTTGCCCCTCGGTGACAGGAAAGTCCTGGAGTGTTATGTCACCCTCTGCCTTCGGCATCGGGTGACATAACACTCCAGGACTTTCCTGTCACCGAGGGGCAAACATTCTGGTATGTCACCCTCGAAGCCATGTGATATATGTATAATGTTACATGATTTTTATCACTATTTTGCAAGTATTATGTGTACGTGTTTTAAAAAGCTCATTTTAAATAATGGAATGAAATAATTATGCAATGAAAAATTCCAAAAAAATGTAAACAAAAACCATTCCAGACAACATATTTCAAGAATTTGATCACTGACCTTATATATATTTAGTACCATTAAAATAAGGGCAACAAAAGTAAACTTGGGCTGTAACTATTCCATTTATATTATGTTTCATTATCTAAAGAGTTTAATGCATGGAATTTTGATTCTTAAGCCATCTGCGATACAAATCATCATTTATTAAAACACAGTCTATCCGACTTTTTGAATTATTTTCAGCATCAAACCATGTTATACCATTTAGACTAGGGTATTTTCTTTTCCAAAAATCGATTAATTATAAGTTGTTTATAATATATGTCCACGTTCATACACTCTGTGGCTTTCATCGCTTAGTTGACAAAGTCTCCACAAAGAATAATGTTATTTAAACAAGTTTTTTTTGTTTAATATCTTAGGAGAATATATATTTATAATTGAAAATATTTTCTCTTTTTATATTTATCTCATCATTTGATAGAATTTTTCTCCCGTCCACTGTTCGTTTAACATTATTAATTCAACTTCAATATTAAGATTTTCTTGAAAAAGAATAGTTACACCCTTACTAAATACAGAATCACTGTAGGAATGAAATGCTTTTCCTTTCCATCCGAGATTATACTTATTTTCGTATTTTTAAACAAAATATCTTTCCTGTAAAAGTGCAACATAAATCTTTTCTTTCAAATAGACATGAGTATAATTGTTTTTTTCCCTCTTTTCAGCAGTATTTAGACCTCTTACATTAACTGAAATAAAGTTTAACTTTTTCATAATCAATAATTTTTCATGTAACAAAATATCAGATAAACAGAATAAAATATACTACTGAAAATTTCTAAAGCAATACAAGCTCAGTCCACATAATTGCATAGATTCTGTATCATTAAGGATGTCGACCCAGGGGGTTATCCGTTGACAGATTCATCGGGGTCGGATCCGGGGTCTGTTCACGTACTCAAACCTAATGCAGAATAGGCATCTGTAGTGTTACGGATAGAACGATGTATCTCAGCTATGTTTTTTCTGCATGACACTATGCTTCTTTTGCTGTCTTGAGCTCTGCCTAGATTGACTCCACTCGTCACTTTTTTTACGCTAACGAATTGTTTGAGCCACTCTACCTAAGATTTTTCCTAACAGATTCTGGCCAGGCTGGGCTGAAGCTTTTTTGATTTCTGTACCAGATTTGTCAAGCCCCGTCCCCATTTGTCGTTGAACGTATACTCAGCAAACACAGTGTTTTTCTTTACGAATCTGACATTCTCTCGGAATACCTGAATTTAAAACGATTTAAACAGATTTGTTATGCCCCGCCCTAAATATGGCAGGGGCATATAGTGTTTGTCATGTCCGTCTTCTGTTTTTCTGTCCTTATGCCTGTCCTACTGTCGCGCTTTGTGTTTAGCTCAGTTCAAAGCTAGGTTTCAAAGAGACTGTTCAAGATATTTTTATCAAACTTCATATGCTGATACATATTAATAAGAAATATATAAATGCATCAAAAAATTTTTGATCTTGACCTTCCTTTTCACCTTAATCTCACTTTTAAGGTCACCTGAGCTGAAGGCTCAAGTGAGCTTTTCTGATCATATTTTGTCCGTCGTCCGTTTGTCCGTCCGTCCGTGTGTCCGTCTATAAAGTTTTCACATTTTCAACTTCTTCTCAAGAACCACTGGGCCAATTTCAACCAAACTTACCAAAAGGTATCCTTGGGTTAAGGGAATTTAAATTTATTCAAATGAAGGGCCATGCCCTCTTCCAAGGGGAGATAATTAAAAATTAGTGAAAAATTAATTGCTTCTTTTAAATATCTTCTTCTCAAGAACCACAGGACTAGGAAAGATGAAACTCATATGGAAACATTCTTAGGTAGTGTAGATTCAAATTTGTTTAAATCATGACCCCTGGGATTAGGGTGGGGCCACAATGGGGGATCAAAGGTTTACATAGGAATATACATGTATAGGAAGAATTTTGAAAAATCTTCTTCTCAAGAACAACAAAGCCACAATTAGTCACATTGAGACGCAATCATCCTCAGGTAGTGTAAATTCAATTTTATTAAAATCATGACCCCCAGGGGTAGGGCGGGGCCACAATGGAAAATCAAAGTTTAACATAGAAATACATAGGAAAAATCTTTAAAAATCTTCTTCTCAGGAACAGCAAAGCCAGGATGAGTCATATTTATATGACAGCGTTCTCAGGTAGTGTTGATTCAAGTTTGTTCAAATCATGACCCCCGGGGTAGGGTGGGGCCACAATGGAAAATCAAAGTTTTACATAGAAATATATAGGAAAAATCTTTAAAAATCTTCTCAGGAACAGCAAAGCCATGATTAGTTATATTTTTGTGGAAGCATCCTCAGGTAATGTAGATTCTATTTTGTTCAAATCATGTCCCCCGGGGGTATACGTAGGGTGGGACCACAATGGGCGATCAAAGTCTTACATAGGAATATAAAGGAAAATATCTTTTTCTCAAGAACTGCAAAACCATGATTA